TGCAGTGACTATTGGTGTTGGTCAGGAATCTTTATTACCTCTGTTTTCTCTATGTTCACCTGAAGTCCTTCCTATCTTTGATGCTTCTTCTGCCAACTTGTTGCTTTTCACTTGCATATCTTCCACTTTTTGGGAAATCAGACATATATCATCGGTGAAGTCCAGATTCTTCAAGTTTTTTGCTATTAGTGTTATTATTATTAAAAAGAACCACACATAGATCTAACCACGAATCATGGTCTTCTCACTGTCTTTAGAGTGTTTTGTAACTATGCTACTCTCAAAGAAGTTTCTGATAGCTATACAGTAAGTAGACCATAGAGATCAGTTTCAGCACCACAACGAGTCGGTTTTTATCGTTATAAAATTATCTCAAGTATCAGACAAAACTATGAGAAGACATAATTTGTCTTAATCGTGTAATGTTGCAACAATCTGTTCCCTTGCACTTGAGGCAACAGATCGTTTATTGAGGAAATCAACAGATATTTATAGATTTTCATGTACATATTATAGATTACTGTTACCTGGATAACACAGTCCTCTGATTGGTTTGTAAAAAATTATGTTTGTAAAATCTCAGCGAGATTGAAATGAGTAATTCCAACGTTTCGTTCGGCAATCTGGTCCGAACTTCTTCAGGGAAATTAATCGAAATTAACATAACAGAGGTTTATATATAAAAGGAACATCTCTTGTTTTTGAAACTTTGTCCAGTCATGATTCATAAAACAAGTATAATAAACAAAATATTTTAGAACTATTCTGTCAAATCTTGACGACAGTTCATTTGACCTTCTGATTGGTTATTTCTCACAGAAAGTTAACCTTACATCTCTTTGTGCCTGTTTCTTGAATGTCAGACCATCTATATGTTAACTGTATCTGCCTACACAAAGCCTTTGTTCTCATTTTTCTCACGACCAATATTGGGGACATAGACATTGACGTAAATTTACTGTCCACCAATTTTGACTAACAGCCAGCTCTCACCACAATGGTGTTTACACATTTCGAACAATCTGTATCGCACACAGACTTGTCATAGGAATGTATGTATATATACATAAAATTAATAAAGAATAAAGAGATGAGAAAATAAACGCAGGTCAGGTTAAAAGTGTGGCGGTGGGATACAGACAGTGTGTGCCAACGGAATATTATTTCACATATTCGCATGGTTCAGTTTGGCATTAGCAACAGAATACGATATATCCATTTGAACATTCTATTTGACGTTAGAGTCAGAATACTTTCCCACAGCTCAACCGAATAATTTGTGTACTTGAACATTCTCTCTCATGTCGTTTAACGTAAGCCAGAATCACACTCTTAATGATTGTTTAAAGAATATAAACCGTATATATATATATATATATATATACATATACATGTATATATATATGTTTGACCTATGAAAATATACCTTTTCTTCCGTGTCTTTTCTACTGCTGTTACAAAAAGACACATTAAAGGTGAAAATAACAATGAAGATCACTAAACCAAGTAACGTAGGTAGTGGTACATCTACCCTGGTATAAAAAAAATTTACCAAGGAAGGTTCAGCGTGATGACAAAGTGTTGCTTTGATCGCATAAAGGTGGTTTAAACTTCCTAATTGCCAGCTAGAGCTTCCACAAACATAAGGATATGCCTCAAACACGTTCTACAGATAGGTTTAAAAGACGTGTGGAAGCAACATCAGTTCTATGTCCTGTTACCTATGTATTATGTTTCGCCATAGAGGAGCTAGGTTGTTGTCTGTTCTCACCACTGATGGATTCTGGGGATTCTATTTGCTTCTGGAGGCATTTAGGAATATGCTGTGAAGTCAGCACTTACTTACAGAGATCATCGATGAGTCTTCCCTTCTATGTACATGTGTGTGTGTGTGTGTGGACCGCACGTACATTGAAACAATGAGATGTGACATCATTTTCCGCATGTGTTAATGGCTTAGATGCAGGAATTTATCTGTCTATCGGTGTCATATTCTCAAAAGTATTAGTTCATTTTTGTACCGGCAACACATCATATTTTAGAATTATAAACTTCTTCTAATCTCTTCATTTTAATTTTTAAGGGTAAAAATAAATATCTACTTGCATGATATTTATTCATTTACAAACTCCATAGTTAGTTTTAATTCTTCGAAAGAAATTCACATGTCATATATTATTCTGGATCAATATTGAGCTACTAAAATGTTGTCTTTCTCTCTGTACCTCTCTCGCTCTCTTGTTTGTGTGTTTTCATCCGCATTCACATTACATACATGTGATTGTGTATGAGGTGAATATTATATGATATAAGTATCTACTACTTTTGTATGTATATATGAGAATATAATTATATGTTGTTTGTGATGATAATCAATTCACCTGTCTTTTGTGTCTTCGGTATAAACGGCTTATTTTAAAGAAAGCCAAATAAATAGGGTATTAGTTTTGTAGGGATTCGTTTGATTGGCTAGAGGATTTCATTATGAGCTGACATCAGTGAGATAACCATTGGAAGATAACCACTGGAGTACTGGACAACTCCAGCTGCTTCGTCAGACTTGTCTGTGACTCGTCAGCAGCACGCACCCACCCCACCGGGAGGGTTCGAATCCACGACCTTCTGGTTACAAGGCGAGCTAGCTCGTGACCAGTAGAGGGTACAGTAGGTTGAAGGTGAAGCCAGTTACTCATCGAAGAAGACATTGCAAAGTGGTCGCGCTATGTCATGAATTGGCAGAAGTTGTAATTCATGCACTGGCTAGCCAGTGAATCGGTTGGCCCCAGTGGCTTAATGGTTTACGAGCTAGCTGGCCTTGTAACCAAAAGGCACTGGGTTTGAGCCATGGCTGTGGAGTGGGTGCATACTACTGAAGAATCCCAAACTAGTCTGATGAAAGAGCTGTCCAGTACTCCCTACTGACCTTCAGTCTTCTAACTGATGTCAGGTCGTAATGAAATCCTCCAACCAATCAAATAAATAAAGGTTTTACATCTGTCGTTAATTTTGACAGTTTTTCAATAAGCGTAAAAACCTGTTTGCTGCAACTAATTGTCTTCATAAACAGTATAGTTGTTGTACCTTGAACCTTCGGCAAAGTTAAACTCTGAGCACCATTACCTATTACCTACTAACTTGCGAATGACCTTGAAAGCACCAGTCACATGGAGGAGGTTAATTTTGGATATGGAATACATATATTTAATGCATAAAACTGTATGAAGTGTTACACAGGATACCTTTCTCTGACATTTGATACAAACAGCTCCCAGTTTAGTATAGGAGTATCAATGGAAAAGCTACACCACATCCTATACATATATATTAATCTAAATGACTATATGAGATATCCTGTTTTTTACCTTCCCCCGAACCTTCGATAGAATTGGTGTGTGTCCATGTAATGGGATCACCCAAACATTATTCACTCGTTCTCGACCACAGTTGTATTTTGTTTCTCTAATATGACATTTTCATCCCCACGTACGACGACACCTCCCAATAAATAAGTAAGTCTCTCCATTTTTCAGGATGCGATATTCCTGCACTTCTGGTACCACTGAATTGTTTATACGAGACTATTTTCAGTTTCGGCAGCTGCACCTCTCACAAGCTGCTCTAAAACACAGTAATTACAAATATACAAAATCTGGGTTAAGAACAGATGGGACCTGGCAAAAAATGTTTCCACCAAGTATTAGAATCACCACTTACCTTCCCTGACACTAACTCGTCAAAAACAAATTTCACAGCGATGCACATCTCCATCAAGAGACCTGCTGAAGCTTTTATGGTCACTACACACTACCTAATCAACCCCACATATAAAAAATACTGGAAGACTTGTTCCTTACCAAATTGCAAATGCAGCTGTGTTAAAGCAGGCATTTGACTCGAATCAAGCGGAATTGAAGTTTCAACTCACGTGGGTGAAACTCATTGGATCATTCAAGGTTTTTGGTACGGATGCACTCCATTGGTGGTAGTTAGTGGTGCTAAAGTTTAACCTGGTCGAAATTTCGTATTAAGTATCATGTCTCGAATAATTTTCTTTCTGAAAACACCGTACAAACCATGTTGTTGACGATGTGTAAAAATAAAAATTACTGTTTGGAGCTGAATATCATGGATTGATATCAATTAGGGAAGTATTCGAAACCAGGGTGTACTTACTGGACAACTGTTTTGTCCTAGTCTGGGACTCCTCATCAGTGAAAACCCTGATTCCTCTCTCAGTCAGGGAGGGGGCGAACCCATGACTTTCAGCTTTTACAATATGATCTCGTTAACCATCCAGCCACTGGGGAGGAATCCAATGGTGCATTAATCTTAACTTCTACGGATTTTCGATTTATTAAGTTGATTTCTTGAAATAGAAACTTGAGACATTATGCACTTCAAGAAATTTGACAGACAAAATTTCATAGCTTGTTCAAAGGTTGAGGAAACTGGTCTTACACCACAGGTGGTTTTCTTAGCGCCCCAACCATTGTGAGCTTTTGACTTGAAGTCTGATCCACAAGATATTGGAGAAGCGTTAGGAATCACATTTCCATTGGGTTCACATACCACCATTCATTTCATCCATATTTTGGAGCTCATGTACAGCATAAGTTTGAAATCGGAAGTTTTCAGCTCTCCTAAGTATGCCTGCGTATCTACCATCTCCAGTTGTAATTGCCAGATATGTTTATTTGCCCTTTAGCTTTTTGTAAGGAACACGCGTGTCATGTTAAGGTAGTGAACAGAATAGGATTTACTTAGTAGCAGAGGCTATAGACTCATGACCTTATGACAGCATTTTGGGAAGAAGATCGAAGTTCACCCACTCTTGGCCTGTACTAGGTCATTTATGGGGGGCAATTTGAGATACTTGATGAAGTATCCTGTTCAAGTATATATATATATATATATATATATATATATATGAGCTGATTGATGTGTAGCATCATATTGTTAATGCTTTGTTGTTTATTTATTTATTTTTTTTTGCTTTATAGATTCATTGGTTTTCAATATTTAATTCATTTATGATGGTATTATTCCTTGTTGCATTGGTATGCATGATATTAATGCGAACTCTACGACGTGATTATGCTAGATATAATAAAGAAGATGGTTTAAGTGAATTGGTTAGTTTGCCTATTTTTCTTTCTTGTAATGTTATTTTTATTTCTATACACTTGCTTTTATTTAAAATATGTACAGAAGCATTATAGCTATTTATTCGAGTGTTGGTTTGTAGGGATTTGATTGGTTACAGGATTTCATCATGAGCTGACATTAGTTAGAGAACCATTGGAAGACCACCACTGGAGTACTGGAGAGCTGTTTCGTCAGCCTAGTTTTAGACTCTTCATCAGTACATACCCACCGGGATTCGAACCCAGGACCTTCTGGTTATAAGGCGAGCTTGTATACCATTAAGCCACTGGGACCCGATCCAATGGCCCATGAATTCTAACTTCTGCCAATTCACGACATAGTGCGACCGCTAGCCAATGTCGAGTATTTGCCCTCATACCCGACCTGCTGCACCCTACTGGTCACGACTTGATGGATAGTGTGGTTGGCTTAGCAAAGAGGAGTCTAGGATGCATATTTGGTACTGTTTTGAGAGTTGTCAGGCGGATACGCAACATGCATTTATGCTGGAACTTGAACTCTTGTTCTCGTTAACCAAATGCTTTAGTGGATAACTCCTTCACAGTTTTGAAACAATGGCTACTGACCGAGTTGGGTTATTGTCTCAGTGGGGGAACACTTTCACTCACACACTCACTGGGAAATGCTCAGGTACATAGAACTGATGAGTCCGATATAGGACCAAGGGCTCCTAGTCATCATTGCTTACTAAAATATCATGTTAATTCTTAGACAACATAGGAGCATCTGTGTTAGGAGCCAACTGAGGTCGAAAATTTCTGTTGAGTCAATTAACAGGTAAATCCTGATGGAAGATTATAGACATTAAAATTCTTCCACTTATGACAGACGGATGACTTACATTATTTCCTATTCACCTGCTACATATATACATGCATGATATTGATTTTATTCCGAAATAATAATATTGAATTGCGATAAAATAACTGTAATGATAATCATAATTAAACATCAAACGACCGAAAATATTATGCTTTACATAACTTAATATCAATTCTAGAAGTGAGTGTAACCAAGAAATCTTCTCTATTGTTTCGAGATAAGTAGGCAAATAAAATATAACATTACAAGGTGAGATTATAATCATAAACATCTTGTCGCAATTCACATTGCTATACGCTCATCACACAGTCTTCTGAACACCTTGAGCAGTGAACAGTCTTCGAATATTTGGCATGCGATTCGTTGCTGTTAAACGTAAGGTGATGCTACGGGACTGAACAACATTGACCCACACCTAGCTTAAAGATAGGGAGTGATGTGGGAGTTGCATCAGCCAGTGACAACGGGTTGGTCGCTGACTAAGTCAGTACGGATAGAGAAAGCTTGTTTAGCATATGCCAACCAACCTACGCCATCTCTGGCTTGGTAGACATGATATCCGACTGTTTGTTGACTTAAGGGCGTGTATACTGCTCAGCAGTTCACTCTATCCTCCTATATGACTGTGAGCGAGACATAACCTCCATTGAGAGTGGGAGATACGAAGAGCTTGGCTAGCTGTGTTGGAGTATTGGTGTCTGCGTTCTATCTCCCATTTTAAGTGGTATAATGGGGTGGGCAATATTGAGGTTAAGCGTCGGTCGAGTGCTAAGTGGGTGGGAGGGAAAATCAATCGACGACGAGGTTGTGAAGTTGCATAGATTGCGAGGGGCGGTTAGGATATTTGTTACGTAGGATTAGCCTAGCTTAACCCATCGATTGCCTTCCTCGACAACCGGCAATGTTAACTGACTGACATTGGATGGATCAGGTTTGGAAGAAGGCTACTGGTGGTGGTCAAATCAAAGCATGACTCCATCAGTCAGTCAAATAAATCTACAACAGTTAGTTTAAGCTAGCCAGCAGGCCAGTCACGTAGGGAGGGAGGAGTAGACTTCTTGACTGTGACTGGTTGGGGTCCTCGAGATGCTAAAGACCAATGAATTCTGAAGACACTTGGTGATGATATGGCTCAAAATAGTTTTCAATGGCTGGCGCAGATTCATTCACTCTGTTTCATTGTTCTTCCATATTACTATTCCTTTTGCCTCATATTTCTGTTTATTATCTCCGTCTGTTTTGAATCTCTGTTTACTCTCTTCGTGATATGTGCGGTACAGGGAGGAAGTGTGGCAACTCGAAGTGCTTCACATCGGTGAAGAGCTCTATGTTGGAACCAGTCAGTCACGTTTATCAGATAGCCCTATCTCTATTTATGTCTGAGTTAACTGATAACCGCAGAGCATAGATTTTATAGGTCTAGTTTTTACATTTTGTTGTGAAGTTTGCCAAATGTTTCAGACAGATGCACAATTGTTATCGGTGTACGTTTTTTAAAAACTTAGTTCCTGTAATAAACAATCGATTATCAGTATTCCTCGTGAAACCGAATTAAATTAGTTTTTAGATTAAGAAAAAAGGTGGTGTTATATGATGACGGCGGTGGTGATGTGTTTACACCATCCATAAAATTTCATTGTGATATGAACTGGTAGCTAAATAGTAGCGTGTTTGTCTTTTAACGTGGTCGGTTTTAGTTTAGTCCCTTGCAAAGTTGTATTAAAAAGGAGATAGTGTAACGGTAGGAAGATGAGAGACTTGGTAAAAGAATGTTTATTTGCGATTTTTATCTCTATTATATAGTCAAATTATGTGTATACCTTATCTTCAAATCACCATTTGCATGGATCTTCCGTGTTGTGCTACTTCTGCCCTTCCATCATATTAAATTTCTTTGTGTTCCTTTCACGTCTCCCATGTATCTCAGCCGATACGCTGAATCATTCACTTGATCTGACATCAAATCTGTCTCCATGCTATTTGATGTTTTTATGCTGATGAACATATCTTTATATAATAATAATAATAATTTACTTTATTCCAAAAACAGTACTTGTAATACAGAATGGAATTTTCAGCATTAATCACAATATTGCATCTAATTTCCTCAAATTATAAATAAGAATTCATCACACAGAAAATTTTCCACATTTACAATGGAGGTAGTGTCAAAAACATGCAGCATATAAAATGGAAATAAGAATAATAATGATAACAGCTAGGGTAGTAATAATAATAAGAATGCAAGTGAAAATTGCCGTTGGCTTGTGTCACACAGTATTGGCAATGTGGTATAGAAATCCTAACATGTTTAAAAATATTGAATATAATGTTCTCTTTACATGATATGGTGAGGGGAAAAACAAAGATTACAGCCGTCATGGAGATAAGTTGGTGTTTGCAATTCTGAGAGTAAAACAGAGAAGTAACAGGACCATAAATATAATAGAAGTAATAAAAGTAAAACTTGAAGGTATATAAGGATGGATGGATGGAGGAAATTGTTTATTTACTAGATGAAAAAAGGTTAGCTAATTCTTGCCTGACACTATTTTCATACATACTACTGATAATTCTTATCAGTAGCACACACCACAATGGTTGTCTAGTACTCTGTGGTTTTCAATAATAATAATAATATCAAGATGAAACATTGATGCCTTAGTAATGAAGGTTGGTGGGGATTTAATAACTCGAAACAGGCTTTTTCATATCACATAAGTTATATGCCCCGCATTGTAGTATGAGCGCTGATTTCTTTTCTTTTTCACCCCTTCGTGCTTTGACTGGCAAATAGGGTTTCAAGCTTCTTGAGTTTTATGGTCTCTGTACCTACCGTGATGTTTTTTGCAGGGTGGAAGGGGGATTGCTAGCTTCATGTCACATCTGTCGCTTTATTTATCGGCTGGTAAACTAGGTGAAGTTTGGCATTATGGTGTCTGCCGGGAGTCTCTGTACATACTTAGTGACCAGTGTTCAATATATGTCCCATTATAGCACTCCTTATTGATCCACTGTTACCTTTTTCGTAGCCAAGCGGGATAATGTTCTTCGACTCTTTTAAATACAACACACATCGAATGACTTTCGTATCTAGCTCATTCTACATCAAAATGTGCCACTTTATAGAAGGTATGTAGATGAAATTGTAATCATAAGTGATAATTCTTGTTCTGCCACCTCAAGTTTAAATCGAATGAATGAAGTCCAGAATAGCATATCACTTACATCTGTAGAAGAGGAAGATAACTAATAAAGTAAAGCAACAACAACAACAGACAACAATAAGCATAAATGGGAAGAACCTGAAAGAAACAACCTCCTTCACCTACCTGGGAAGCATCGTCTCAACTACAGGCGGAACTGACGAGGACATCAAAGTCAGAATCGGAAAAGCAAGACAAGCTTTCATTACTCTCAAATCTGTGTGGAGGTCAACAGCAATCAGCATCAAAAATAAGATCCGGATTTTCAACTCCAATGTGAAGTCAGTGCTACTATACGGATCAGAGACTTGGCGAGTCATAAAGAGCATCTCAAACAAACTTCAAACCTTCATTAACAACTGTCTCCGCTCAATACTCAAGATCAGATGGCCAGAAAAGATCAGCAACAGGGATCTCTGGGAGCGAACCAATCAGGAACCGATTGTGAAACAAATAGGCAGAAAGAAATGGAGATGGATTGGCCATACTCTGAGGAAACCATCAAGTGACATCACTAGACAAGCCCTCGAGTGGAACCCGAAAGGGAGGCGGCGAGTTGGTCGTCCAAGTGTGACTTGGAGGAGGTCATGCGAGGAGGAGATGAAAGCATGTGGACAGACGTGGAGCAGGGTGAAAAAGTTGTCAGAAAACCGAAGTCAATGGAGGTGCGCAGCTGAAGCCCTATGTTCCTCTGGGAACTAAAGGATACAATAATAATAATAATAATAAGGAAGATAATGTTTATCATTCCTAGATATATTGCTTAGTTTGAAAATCCCCATTGAGTCATATAAAAAAGAGAAGACGTTCAGCGAAAAGACTCTTTTCGTCGAATTCATCCACACAGCTGTACAATCGCATTTATATTTAATAATTTGTGCGTGTACATGAGTTTAGATAATTGATCAGGTAATACAAGAATGATCTAATGTAGAAAC